CATATACTACTTTAGTTTTATAGTCCTATGGGTCTTAGGTTTATAATCGTATGGGTCTTAGTTTTATAGTCCTATGGGTATTAGTGTTATAATCCTATGGGTATTAGTTTTATAATCCTATGGGTCTTAGTTTTATAATCCTATGGGTATTAGTTTTATAGTCCTATGGGTCTTAGTTTTATAGTCCTATGGGTATTAGTTTTATAATCCTATGGGTCTTAGTTTTATAATCCTATGGGTATTAGTTTTATAATCCTATGGGTCTTAGTTTTATAACCCTATGGGTATTAGTTTTATAGTCCTATGGGTCTTAGTTTTATAGTCCTATGGGTATTAGTTTTATAGTCCTATGGGTATTAGTTTTATAATCCTATGGGTCTTAGTTTTATAATCCTATGGGTATTTGTTTTATAATACTATGGGTCTTAGTTTTATAATCCTATGGGTATTAGTTTTATAGTCCTATGGGTCTTAGTTTTATAGTCCTATGGGTATTAGTTTTATAGTCCTATTGGTCTTAGTTTTATAGTCCTATGGGTATTAGTTTTATAGTCCTATGGGTCTTAGTTTTATAGTCCTATGGATATAAGTTTGATAGTCCTATGGGTCTTAGATTTATAATCGTATGGGTATTAGTCATACTCTCCAGTATGTACTCTAAAGTGAATTTTAAGACCAGATGCCTGATTAAAACTTTTTTTACAAACTTCACATTTGTATGGTTTCTCTCCAGTATGTGTTCTTATGTGTATGTCAAGACTCCTTTCAGAACGAACACACTGCAAATATCACATTCATATGGTTTCTCTCCAGTATGTTTTCTCATGTGAACATTCAAATAATAAGATCTTATAAAACATTTTTTACGAACATCACATTTGTTATGTTTCCCTTTAGTGTATATGTTTATATGAGCATTAAGAATACTTTTAATTGGAAATTTCTTTTTACAAACACCACATTTGAAAGGTTTCTATCCAGTATGTATTCTCATGTGTTTATTAAGCTTATACGCTATTAGAAACCATTTTCCACAAACATCACATTTGTGAGGTTTCTCTCCAGTATGAATTTTCACGTGAACTTTAAGAATTGATGATGCTTCGCAGAATTTTTCACAAACATCACATTGGTGAATTTTCTTTCTTTTTAAAGACTTTGCCATATCACTTTGTTTTTAAAAACTGTCGGTGGATGTAAACAAAGGCAAGACAGGAAGTGTAATATTTTACGGATTAACAACTTTGGATTTATAGATTTGTAACACTAAATTGCGGATTGAATAATATTCATAAACTAAAATTTTGCCTGGAAATATTACGATTTCCACCTATCAAATGATCTTTAATGTACACAACGGGTAGCACACTGGGTCGCGGTATATGGTCAATCCCGAATGACTGGGTGCTTTTTTTTATTTGTCTTGAACAAAAATTCGTATTATTTTAAATGTTTATTTTACGTATTTAGGGGTAGGGACGGGGGACTTAGCATTAGATGTATTCTCCAGCTTCCTAGATTGGAGGGGAGTCCATAGAGTTCGTGACTCTACTCCAGCCAATACCGTCAAAATAGCTATCAGAGGCTGGAATAGAGGCAGATTTTTCGGACTGGAAGGAAGGAGATATATATTGGGAGCCATCGGCATACAGATGGCACTATAGCGCCCAGAGGAGGGGTGTACAATGTGAATACTATTGAACAGATCCATGAGCAACATCTTAAACAAGCTCGGGGGTAGCTTCTATCACCCAGTCCCTTTTTGTCAACATACAGCTATAGGTATAGTCTAGGCGTCAGAGACTAGCTTGGAGTTCCATTTACAACTACACACACTTCTACCAAAAATAGATACTCAAAAGGTCGACAGCAGATTTCCCGATTCCAAATCTGTAACTAAGTCTGGACAAGAGTATTTTATGGTCAAAAGCAGTTGCTCAACTAATGTGATGGGGCCCATGGACTAATGTGAGGTGAGGACCCTTCTCCGGGAGATATATATATACGCTCTCCTGCATTTCGAGCCCCTTTGTAAGTTTTAGTCAATTTAATGTCTGTGAATTAAAACTTTGCTATTTCACTCATTTGTATATTACGGGTTGTTTAGTTAGATTGTATTTTCATACTTTTTGACTATATATTTTTTTCTGGGAGTTGGACCCTGTGGACTTGGATCAATCAACCAGTCCCTATAGTAATTGAGCTGGTATAGAAGCTAATATCAAAATAATTCGTTATATTAGCCAATTTTGATACTCCCATCCTTCACAAAAACATAATTATTGATGTAAATTATCATACTATTTTCATGATTATCCTTAGCCCTGAACACTTATCAACTTTAAAAGATGTTACAATTTACCAAATAAATAAAACAATTTTATGTCTAGATAACATTTATTACTTTAACCGTTCCAATGTGGTTTTTACACTATGTCATAAGGACCAATTTACCATGAATAAATGCACTGTGGCCAATTTACCATGAATAAGGACCATGTGACCAATTTACCATGAATAAGGATCATGTGACCAATTTACCATGAATAAATGCAAAGTGATCAATTTACCACGAATAAATGCAAAGTGGCCAATTTACCATGAATAGATGCATAGTGACCAATTTACCATGAATAAATGTACAGTGACTAATTTACCATGAATAAATGTACAGTGACTAATTTACCATGAATAAATGCACAGTGACTCATTTACCATGAATAAATGCACAGTGACTAATTTACCATGAATAAATGCACAGTGACCAATTTACCATAAATAAATATACAGTGACCAATTTACCATAAATAAATATACAGTGACCAATTTACAATGAATAAATGCACAGTGACCAATTTACTATGTATAAATGCAAAGTGATCAATTTACCACGAATAAATGCACAATGACCAATTTACCATGAATAAATGTACAGTGACCAATTTGCAATGAATAAATGTACAGTGACCAATTTACCATGAATAAATACACAGTGACCAATTTACCATGAAAAAATATACAGTGACCAATTTACCATGAATAAATGTACAGTGACCAATTTACAATGAATAAATGTACAGTGACCAATTTGCCATGAATAAATGCACAGTGACCAATTTACCATGAATAAATATACAGTGACCAATTTACCATGAATAAATGCACAGTGACCAATTTACCATGAATAAATATACAGTGACCAATTTACCATGAATAAATGTACAGTGACCAATTTACAATGAATAAATGTACAGTGACCAATTTACCATGAATAAATGCACAGTGACCAATTTACCATGAATAAATGCACAGTGACCAATTTACCATGAATAAATGCACAGTGACCAATTTACCATGAATACATGTACAGTGACCAATTTATAATGAATAAATGCAAAGTGATCAATTTACCATGAATAGATGCATAGTGACCAATTTACCATGAATAAATGTATAGTGACTAATTTACCATGAATAAATGCACAGTGACCAATTTACCACGAATAAATGCACAGTGACCAATTGACCATAAAAAAATATCCTGTGACTAATCAACCATAAATAAATGCACAGTGACTAATTTACCATGAATAAATGCACAGTGACTCATTTACCATAAATAAATGCACAGTGACTAATTTACCATGAATAAATGCACAGTGACCAATTTACCACGAATAAATGCACAGTGACTCATTTACCATGAATACATGCACAGTGACCAATTTACCATGAATAAATGCACAGTGACTAATTTACCATGAACAAATGCACAGTGACTAATTTACAATGAATAAATATACAGTTACCAATTTACAATGAATAAAAGCAAAGTGACCAATTTACCATGAATAGATGCATAGTGATCAATTTACCATAAAGAAATGCAAAGTGACCAATTTAGCATGAATAAATGCACAGTTACCAATTTACCACGAATAAATGTACAGTGACTAATTTACCATGAATAAATTCACAGTGACCAATTAACCATGAATAAATGCACAGTGACTCATTTACCATGAATACATGCACAGTGACTAATTTATCACGAATAACTTCAAAGTGACCAATTTACCATGAATAAATGTCCTGTGACCAATTTACCATGAATAAATGCATAGTGACTAATTTACCATGAATAAATATACGGTTACCAATTTACCATGAATAAATATACAGTTACAAATTTACCATGAATAAATGTACAGTGACTAATTTATCATGAATAAATGTACAGTGACTAATTTATCATAAATAAATGTACAGTTACTAATTTATCATGAATACATGCACAGTGACCGATTTACCATAAATAAATGCACAGTGACCGATTTACCATAAATAAATGCACAGTGACTAATTTACCATGATTAAATGCACAGTTACTAATTTACCATGAATACATGCACAGTGACCAATTTGCCATGAATAAATGCAAAGTGACCAATTTACCATGAATAAATTCAAAGTGACCAATTTACCATGAATAAATGCACACTGACCAATTTAGCATGAATAAATGCACAGTGACCAATTTACCATGAATAAATGCACAGTGATCAATTTACCATGAATAAATGCACAGTGACCAATTTACCATGAATGAATTCACACTGACCAATTTACCATCAATAAATGCACAGTGACCAATTTACAATGAATAAATGCACAATGACCAATTTACCATAAATAAATTCACACTGACCAATTTACCATGAATAAATGCACAGTGACCAATTTACCATGAATAAATGCACACTGACCAATTTACCATGAATAAATATACAGTTACCAATTTACCACGAATAAATGCACAGTGACCAATTTACCATAAATAAATGCACAGTGACCAATTTACCATGAATAAATGTCTCGTGAAAATTTAACATGAATAAATATACAGTGACCAATTTACCATGAATAAATGCACACTGACCAATTTACCATGAATAAATGCACAGTGACTAATTTACCATGAATAAATGCACAGTGACAAATTTACCATGAATAAATGCACAGTGACTAATTTACCATGAATAAATGCACAGTGACTAATTTACCATGAATAAATTTCTCGTGACCAATTTACCATGAATAAATGCAGTGACTAATTTACATGAATAAATGCACAGTGACCAATTTACCATGAATAAATGCACAGTGACCAATTTACCACGAATAAATGCACAATGACCAATTCATCATGAATAAACGCACAGTGACCAATTTACCATAAATAAATGTCGAGTGACCAATTTACCATGAATAAATTCACAGTGACCAATTTACCATGAATAACTTCAAAGTGACCAATTTACCATGAATAACTTCAAAGTGACCAATTTACCATGAATAAATGTCCTGTGACCAATTTACTATGAATAAATTCAAAGTGACCAATTTACCATGAATAAATGCACAATGACCAATTTACCATGAATAAATGTCCTGTGACCAATTTACTATGAATGAATTCAAAGTGACCAATTTACCATGAATAAATGCACAGTGACCAATTTACCATGAATAAATGTCTCGTGACCAATTTACCATGAATAAATTCATAGTGACTAATTTACCATGATTAAATGTCGCATGGCCAATTTACCATGAATAAATGTCGAGTGACCAATTTACCATGAATAAATGCACAGTGACCAATTTACCATGAATAAATGCACAGTGACCAATTTACCATGAATAAATGCACAGTGACCAATTTATTCGTGGTAAATTAGTCACTGTGCATTTTCTGAGAAACATGAATTTTCTAGCTAAGCTAATCAGTAATACTACATGTTTTACTAATACTAATAATATATACAGCTCACCGTCGATATTTGAGCCTTAAATCCATGTGTGTCCACAATTATTCGCGTTCGAAAGTTAAAAAGACGACTCGTCTAATTCTCGAGAGTGTCATATATAGAAAAATAGAAAAGACAGATGTAAAAAAGAAAGTGAAAGTGAAATTTATAGTTTGAGGTATATTTGGAGGGGTTATGCAATATTCGTGCAGATCGGCTGAAGACTGTTTACATAAACCTAAATCAACCCTGAATATGGCGAACCATGTCAAATGAATTTTAGATGCTGTTGGCTTTCTTGTCATTATTATGGATTATACAAAGGGAGGTGAATTTTAACCCGTGGTTCATTTAATCCAAATAGCTGTGTATAAGTCAGTGAATTATAACCAATGACAGTTCGCTTTTCAAATACGTTCTCATAATAATATAAATTAACAAGTTTCATACTTCGTGTATTCATTTTTACACAACAATCCCCGACATTGAATTGTAGAAGGATAATAATTGGCTGCTTAGAAAATCACCTAATAATAATTTAATAGTAAATTCCTTATTTGGCTAAAAAAAAATAAGTATAAAGGCATTTTTACAATTGAGCCTAAAAGATTAACTGAACAATTTTAACACAACACTCTAATAGAATATACACAATATAATATAGGCCCTACAATCAATCTTACACTATATAAATATCGACTATTTTGTAGATTTTGTATCAAGTACCTGACGACATGATTGAATAGTTATACTGAACACCAGAACACGTTATTATACTTCCTCCAGTTTTAGAATTCTGTATTCCTTATTTGGCTAATGATGACAGGAAATGTCATTTAGGCCTAGTGTGCAATTAGATTTTTTACACCTAACCCTAAAAATGATTGATCAAATAATTGAAAATGAATCGTTACTTTTGCGTCCTAGTATTTACCAAGTATTCTGAATAAGAACATTATACAATTTCAGTGTTTCTTTGAAATAATATTTTATGTATGAACACATAAACAAGTACAACTTCTGCAAAATTCGACTCATCCTACTCTTTTGTTGTTAATCGAGTCTATGGAGTACACCATTTAGATAAAAGAGCGCGTACTTCCTGTCCTGATGACAACATCCGGAAATAATTCTCAATAAAACCGAAAATGAAACTTCGTAATAGAAAACAACAGTGATTATTTCAAAAGGAAGAAATGGATCTCATGGTAGATAAACATAATAAAACTGTTCTTTCAGAACTTCAGCCGGGTGATATTGTAGAATTTAAAAGAGGAATATACTCTCATTACGGAGTATATATTGGTAAGATCAATAGTTTTAGTTTTTAACAATAATAATAATACAGTGGTGTAACCTATTTTCGTGGATATAAGGATTCAACACCGAATTTCGTCAACGTTAAAAAAACGAAAAAATTTTTTTCATGTCTTAGATGTTTCTACAAAATAATTGAAATTGGTTTATTTCGATTTTCCTTATGAACCCTTCACTTTGACCCATATTTCATGAGCAACCAACTCGGCAACCGCGGCAGAATGCGTCACTTATTTTCGTATACAATGTTTGATCTATACATAAGTCTAGAAAAACATGTTGTATGGATACCGGGTGGTATAATTAACATTATAACTAGTGACAATTCCTTCAAAGAACCACGATTAAAAAAAAAAATAGTGACTGACAAAATATGATACATATCGTGATTTATTGCTAAAAGACACTGAAACAACATAAGAATATGGTCCACTTTGTGTTCCATAGAAATTTTCTGCTGACACAGAATCCGCTAGTTGATCACGTGACTTCATTCGTTGGACTACATTCTAGCAGACAACACTTGGAATTCCGATTACCGCTTGGGATTATAAGGAAATTCGGCCGATAAAAAATGGTGACGTTTGGTAATAACTGAAATCCGCCATTTTGTATTTGTCAAAGTATACATAAATACATTTTACCTTGGATTAAACTAATGGATTCATTCTACTAGCTGATATTGTACAGAAAACCCATGTTTATCAAAACAAACTAATGCGGAGGTCGCGAAAGGTCGCTCATGTAAATTATTAATCCTTTCTGGAAATCCATGAATAATAGGTTTCCATGAAATTAAGTTACTTGACTGTAATAATAAAATCTTAGGCTAGGGGTATCCAGTTTTTTATATTAAAGGGATAGGTAGGCCATTTTTTTGACCAATCATACTTTAGTCTCAGAATTTTTTAGCTGACCTAATCAGTAAGCTTAATTGTGTTCACAGTACACTGTCGATATTTGAGCCTTCAAATCCATGTGTGTCCAGAATTAATTGCGTTTGAATGTTAAAATGACGTCTCGTCAATTGAAGATATATTCTGTGATAAATAGAAAAAACACATATAGAAATAGTCAGTAAAATTCCTAGTTTGAAGTATTTTTAAAGGTATTATGTGATTTCCGTATATTTCTAGTACTTCTAAAGAATATTTACATTATTCAAAACTCAAATCAACCCCTGTCCCTTTTACCGAAACTTATAATATTTTGGTTGTATTTTCTATCAACAGGGAATGAAGAAATAGTTCATCTATCTGGAGAAGATGAAAATGATGGCTTGGACGCATTTGGTGTTGAACACATCTTTACCATTAGTGGCCAACTTTTTAACAAGGCTTGGGTGAAAAAAGACAAATTTCTGGAAGTGGCTGGTAAAAGTAAGGCCTATAAAGCAAACAAAGACACAAAAAGACAGTGAGTTGTTAATCATCTTTCTGTACCAAGATTAAAATCTAGAATGTTTGAAATACAGTAATCACTCTGTATTTCATCTTCGCAATGTCCAGCTATTACAAACTTCATCTTCGCAATGTCCAGCTATTACAAACTTCATCTTCACAATGTCCAGCTATTACAAACTTCATCTTCACAATGTCCAGCTATTACAAACTTCATCTTCACAATGTCCAGCTATTACAAACTTCATCTTCACAATGTCCAGCTAATACAAACTTCATCTTCACATGTCCAGCTAATACAAACATTGTACTTATACCTAGACTGTCATAGCCACTTATTTTGTATCATGGAACTTACATGATACAAAATAAGTGGCTATGACAGTCTAGCCACATGATGGAAGTTTGTAGATGAAATAATTTGATTGGATTGTATGCCAGTGAATACGGCCAATCAGAGTCCAGTTCAGAAAGTCTGTGAACGCGAAACCATGTTTACTGATGAGAGCTCTGATTGTAAAGAGCTTTCCTACATAGCATCAATTTGCATTTCTCTAATTTTCAATCAGATGTCTATGGTACGTGCAATCCACTTAAAATAATCATATAAAGCATACTTTGCGATTAAACGCTTATTTTTTGTGGAATTGCAGAAACCACAGACGTCTGACTGAAAATTGGAATGGTGCAAATTGATGCTATCAGTGTCGCACAGCGCCCTACACATGAAAAGTTTAAAAAATATCTTTACAATCTCTTTAAGCTATCTTTTTTATTTTCAGGCCCCTTCCTGCCCATAAGATTGTAGAAAATTCTTTATCAAAGCTTGGACGTGTTGGATATAATATAATAACCCAAAACTGTGAACATTTTGCTAATTGGTGCAGATATGAAACGGAGAAGAGTGAACAAGTTGATGGATTTCTTACTGCTGTGTTCTTAGGAGCAGCTGCTGCAGGTACCCTGGCCGTAGCTTCTCATTACATGGGGAAGAATAAAAGAGAGAAAAATCAACCTCAGGGATATTACCATCAATAGACAATTAATCCAATTACAACCAGGGATAAAGACAAGGAAAGGTATTTGTGCACATTCAAGATAGTTTAATAATCAGACCTGGATGTGCAGAATATCTTTACCTTGTATAAAGGGATTGTAAAGAGGTTTTCTAAATTTTTTATGTGTATCAGGGACAATGATAGCATCAATTTGCACCATTCCAGTATAATTTTAGTAGAATTGCTAGAACCACAGATGTCTGATTGAAAATTGGAATGGTGCAAATTGATGCTACCATTGTCCCTGATATACATAAAAAATCCTCTTAACAATCCCTTTTATTTATTGAACTTTACTACTTCAACCTTGTATTTTGATAAAACTGATATGATTAATTCTACAGTTTCCAATTACTGGAATTGACCTTTTTGATTCCAATTAAAAAATTAATTTTTATAATAATTTTAAAAATTATTAAAAAAAAATTCAGATCAGAATTGATCTTTGGTATGTGATATATTTTTACTAAATGAAATTTAGGTAGGCTTGTTATGCTCCATTGTCTAAAGTTTTATATTGTAATAACTACTGTTCTTAAATTTCATCTCTTTCTGTGATTTTTAGTATCAACTAATATAAGAGCCAGCCTCCTGAAATGGGGGTACAAATAAGGGACAGACTGAATTAATGGGGGGACAACTCTTCAGATTCAAAATGTGGCCATTCTGTGGAAGACCCATAGATGCAAGCCTCATATGTAGCATCCAAGAGGATTCCCTCCAAAAAATATTTTGGAAAATAGAATGGATTTGTTGCATTCTGACAAATATTTGGAGACAAAATTTTTAGATATATTAGAAATGTAGTGGGGGTGCAATTGGTATTGCCACTGAATAATATATTGTACTAGTAATTGTCGAAGTTGCTGGAGTTGTCAATGGATTACAGTCACCACCTTAAAGATGGGTTCCCTTATTTTCATTTATGAAAATGCTAATACTTATATGAATACAAAGTAGAGGTGTTCTAATGACTTGTCCATAATTAATTCATAATTAGCTAAATACGAAGAGAATTCCCAGCAGAATTCTAATGAGTGACCGATCAAGAAAGATCAAAAAGTCTTTTTTTGTTTATTCAGACTAAGCATACATGGACGAATGATTGGTTAAAACTGTTAATTATATGCAATAAGAACATAATATGATTAAGAATACAAGATAATTCATTAACACCAATTAATCAAATAGTTCACTCTAAAGAAAAATTAGGAAAACCATCTTTAAATGGATGCGCATTTCTATTTAGTCTATCATCCAGTCCTACAGCTTCGAAGAAACATTTCTGTGATATTTATAATGATATGATTATAATGGAACCTATTATATTTAAATTATTGTCGGGTGCCAAAATAAAGATATTTTTATTGTAACTATAAAATTCTGTATCTTGTTGATCCCGTTCTTTGTCTACCACTTGAATTTTCTTCAGGTAGATGTCCAGTACTCCAGTGCAAAAAAGTCATGTTTTCTGTGGGTGGCGTTTCTTTTTGGGGCGTTTCTATTGGGGGCGTTGAGTTTCTGATGGGGGCGTTGCGTTTCTATTGGGGGCGTTGCGTTTTTATTGGGGGCGTTTCTATTGGCAGCATGTCCTTTGTTATACTTAAAGTAATAATAAGAGTTAACTCATGATAAACATGTTTTAATTCATGACAATTTTATTCTGATATAGATTATTCATAAAGGGTACATTTATAGAAATGAGAAGCTAGCCTATCTAAACAACGATTAGAGTTTTTCATATAACTCAACATTGCACATTTATACCCCGCCCCAACCCTGAAAAAAAAATAATGATAATGACCGATGACATTTAAAACTCCAGTTATAACCCCCCTTTGAAAGGATTCAGCACCATTAAACCTTGAGCCAGATATAGCCCACGTACTTAATATTAATAATAATAATATCTTTATTACAAAAGGGTAGAAAATTAAGCACATTACCGATGCGCATCAAGATAAGACCCTGAGTGAGTACCCAACGATAGGCCTGTCTTCCATTTTCTCCCTTATAGACTTGAATAGCGGACACGGAAACAACGTCCAAGAACGTTCGATTGGAACACAAACTGAGATTGAACTACATATTGGAAATCGAAATAGGCTAATGCCACTGTCATGTTTTCCTCATTACACACTGCAGGATATTGTCTGTCTTCATTAGCTCAATCGAGAGCAAGAAATATGACGGGCCGGGGTAGTACAAAGGTTGATAGAGTATTAGCGTCTCTTTAACCTCTTTAAAAGGGAGACAACCAACTTCTTACTGTTGTACAGAAAGACACCTTGTCAAAGCTGGACGGAGTATAAGATGTCGGGGGCTAAATTGATCTATTTTAACGGTAGAGGAAGAGCTGAAATCATCAGGCTTGTTCTAGGATACCTGGAAATTGAGGTGAGTTGAAATTTGCATTGATTCTTCCAGTTCTGTAATCTGGCAGCAATCATTCTGCGAATCTTGGGCTAACATAACTCACAGACGCTTGAATATTGGAATTAACCTTGATATGGGCCCTGCTGTAGCATAGTTGTATATAAGATACAATAAGATTAATTTCATATGTGCATATTATGGCCTCTGAAAACAGCATATATGCGAACAGTGAAAAGATAAATTGACTATGGAGATAATAGCTATTGATGGCAGTATACTGTACCATCGTGAAGTTAAGAGTTCAAACCAGGGTCGTTATAACACGCTATAAGTATCAACAGCTTGGTATCGAATTTTTCACCATTCTGTACTAGCCCTATTGTTATTAGATGTATCGTTTTACTAGAATATAAACATGCCAACTTGGTATATGAAAGGGGCTGTGAAGAGGTTTTTTAATGTATAAGGGGGACTGATAAATTCAATTTGCACCATTCGGCATTCCAATTTTCAATCAGACCTCTGTGGTTCTAGGACACAATAGCTCCAGTCCATATAGTTTTGTGTGCTCAACTCTCTTCACAATGTCGTAGGTAATATTCATCGTCGGTGAAATTGTACGAAACTTTTGCATACCCAATATATCGATTGATAAAGGGGTTGCGGGTTAAATAAATAAGATGTAGTTATGATCTAAAACCTAACTTTGTTAATATTATATAAGCATTGGATAATTTTTATATAATCATAATTGTTCATATTCAGGTAAAAAAAACAAAAAGAAAGAAAATATTGGTTTAAAAGTGGGCACGGTCTTCAGGTTTTTTTCAATTAAATGTATTTATAACATTTGTTCTATTTTAATTAGAAATTTCTTCATTACAGTATGAAGAAGAATATTTGACAGAAAAATCTCAAATAGAGAAACTGAGAGCAGGTGAGAAGATCAGTTCAGATATTTCAATTTTAACAAAACTTTGGAAGTAGGCTACACTGTATATTTCACAAACATATTGAAAGTTCGTCTTCATTCAGGAGCAGAGAATCAGACGTAAGATTAATGATAAATGATCATAATAAAATACTATATTAAAGTACATTTTTTCATGGTCTCCCGTGCAAGTTCTGCTAGCGCTCTGCAACAGATTCAGCTTGATGAAAACTGCCCAGGATTGCCGAATGAGTTTTTAATGTTGTTGATAAAGCAGAAATTTAGGGCGTCAACTATTTGATGTCATTTCGTTTTTAAAGGGATTGTAAGGAAGTTTTTTAAATGTTTAATTCTTATCGGCGACTATGATAGCACCAATTTGCATCATTCCAATGTTTGTGGTTCCTGTAATTCCACCAAAACTAAGTGCCACAAATCGCTCGAAGAGGCTTATGTGATAAAGCATATATTGCAATTAGTGTCATCAAACACTCATTTTGGTGGAATTGCACGAACCACTAGGCCAACAGTCGTCTGACTAAAAAATGGTGCAAATTGATGCTATCAATATCCCATGCATACACATAGATTTTAGAAAGGCTGTGGCTATTCGCACCGCAACGTTACAAACAAAACCCTAACAAAGTCACTTAATATCATTCTTGACGATCAAAATGGTTTCACGTTTTAAAAAAAAAACCCCAAAACAAGCGCGCCTATTATGTTTTATCTTATCCGTACTGTTGTTAGCAGCCATAGAGAACACGCATCGTGACGGTGTAAATAACCAGTGCGTTTCTGAAAACCTCTTTACAATCTCTTTAACATAATCCCTTATAATATGACAATTTGGCCTTGGCCTAACATTGACAAAGAAGTAGGACATTGTTGAGGGAAGACTACCGTAACATTATTTAGTGTAAAGAAAATGAAGCGTGTTTTCGTTTACCGAGAGTATATTTTTAGTACACTGTAGCTATACTCATTATCATAGGCCAATTCGCATCACTGGCATGAATGAATGAATGAATATAACGACCAATTAATTCTACTTTTCTGCTCCATCGACTCATAAGAGAATGATTTAATTTTTTAGAAAACTGTTGTATATTTGAATTGTAAACTGTTGTATCTTGTATATTTTAGATGGTAAACTGTTGTATCTTGTATATTTGAATGGTAAACTGTTGTATCTTGTATATTTTAGATGGTAAACTGTTATATATTTTAATGGTAAACTGTTGTATCTTGTATATTTTAGACGGTAAACTGTTGTATATTTAGATGGTAAACTATTGTATCTTGTATATTTCAGATGGTAAACTGTTGTATCTTGTATATTTGAATGGTAAACTGTTGTATCTTGTATATTTCAGATGGTAAACTGTTGTATATTTGAATGGTAAACTGTTGTATAATGTATCATTTTGATGGTAAATTGTTGTATATCTAAGATGTTATAATGTTGTACAGTTTAGAATAAGAAGATAAACTGTTGTATATTCTAGATGGTAAACTATTGTTCCAGCAAGTACCTGTATTGGAAATTGATGGTAGAATTTGGTGTCAAGGTGGAGCTATTGTCAGATATCTGGCTCGTAAAGGTCGTATCTATGGTAACAATGATCTTGATGCATCAAGGTAAGTGGTTGATATAACAAGCAAAAAACATTTATGCCACAATTACTGTTTTTTTTTTTTGTAAGTTCATCCAGTGCCCGAATTTCAAAATCTGGGAACCACCAAGCTCCACAGGTGCAGAAGAACTTACTTCCCAAGCTGGGGAACCATCAAACATCACAGGTGTCCGAGAACTTACTTCTTAAACCTGGAAGCATTAATAAATACCCAATATAAAAAACACAGGTACCCGAGAATTAGTTCCAAACCGGGGATTCACAAACACCATAGGTACCTGAGAGGTTAGTCCCCAAACCACAGGTACCCGAGAAATCTCGTAGACCATTTCCATATATAGATGTGAGAAATAGGCTGAAAACTGTTCAAATAATTCATTGTCTTTTGTAGAATTGAGTGACTTTCTTTCGCTTATTGTAGTGGGTGGGGTACCTAGGGTTAACGTTACCAAGTTTTAACTATGGGTCATCGAATAGAAAGGATCCTCGAGAATAGAAGTTGAAATCCCTGAATTGATTTTGTTTTGTTTCTAGAATAGATGAACTGTACGATGGATCTCGAGATTTCTGGATCGCGTTTGCTGCTATAGGATTTCAGGATGAAGCTCAAGCACTACAAACTTCTCTTATCTCTAAGACAATGCCCAGATATTTACCTATTTTCAATAAGGTAAGTCTGACATATATTAAAACCTGGAACCTTATTCATGAAAACTTAACTAAGGATTTTTTTAGTTTAAAGGCCCCTAATCGTATTTTTTAAAACATGGGGTCATAATTATGAGTGCTTTGGAGATGTCGCAATATTTTAAATGGTAAACTGTTCTTTCCCGATGACACTTCGATATCCGAAGTCCGTTGTGTGAGTTGATACAACTAGAATGATGACGGGATTGGCTTGTCTACGTTTTTTTATGGGGATATTCACTGTTTCTTTATATCCCAGATATTAGAAGATAACGGCTCTGGATATTTATATGGTAAGAGTGTTACATTAGCTGATCTGGGACTACTAGAAGCGTTGTTAATGGTCCATGAATATTTTGGTACCAGTTCTATGGAAGCGTTCCCAGCTGTCCAGGTATGCATATTTACATTCGAAAGGGTACCCACGTTTACACCTGCTTGATTTGTAGGAAATCTACAATGTTTGGACAGAAAGTATAATTGCACCTAAACAGTGATATCACATACGTATATCTCGTCTTAGGAACCAGAGTTGTCTGGCTACGTGGACACATAACTGTATTTCAGTCTTCCATTTACAATGTCAAGCTATTACGATTTTTGTCTTATACCTTGACTGCAATAACCCCTTTTCTGTAAACAAACTTTCTGTCAAGGGTTCTCATTGGCTGTATGCGGTAGCGTAGCGTACAATCCAAACCAAACTTCCATGATACAAGAAAGGTGGCATGTGCAGTCGATGTATAATACGAAGTTTGTGATAGATTGACATGGGGAAAATGGTCTTCCAGTTAATCCAATTCATTAATATTTTCTCTTATTCCAGAAATTTTACAATTTGATGACGGAGGACAGTAAAATAGCAGCGTTTTTAAAGAGTCCACATAGAAAAGGGAAGAATGACGATGTTTATGTGTCGACTGTTATGAAAGTTCTTACTTAATGATGCTGTATTGTCAATGATTTCTACTGTCTGACTATTAGTCGGAAACATCTGCCACTAACCCAGCCTCTGGTAGCTATTTTGTCGTCCGCTGAAAACTGTCCAAATATCAACCAGGCTGGAATAGAGGCAGATTTTCGGTCTGTATCCTGTTCAGAATCACATCAGTCACTTTTATGTGAATTGAAATATCAACTCCTTTTGCTGAGAATCATCAAAGGTCATTGGGTTCATGAAAATATCAACCGATCAAAAATTATTATTATGAAAGAGGAGAGGAGAATTTTCATTCCAAAATGTGAATCATTTTCACAAGAGAGTTTCTCAAACCATATATTTGTGACAAAATAACAACAATTCTGAACTCACTGTGGTCGGAGAGTAGATTTCTTTTCTCAACTTAATCCAATAGGATAAACAACTCATTCTTACTTATTTTACCTCATAACCCAAAATCATTAAAACCATTCTGAATTTTGGGTAAAAAAACTGCTGAATTTTTATTAACTTTATAATAAGATATTTGTATCAGAGGCGCAGATCGCTTTTACAATGCGGGAGGGACCAGTGGCGTACGCAGGTTTTATTCAAAAGGGGTCGGACCGTAGGTGCGAATTCGATTGCAGAGTATTGCGGCATGAGAACGTTTCAGTTGAGCTGGTGACACCGTATCATTATAGCTCTCAGAAATATTATAGAAAGAAGGCACCTTCTTGCATGTTACTGAATTTCCAGTCATCCAGTGGGTGCCCACGACAGAGGCTGAATGGAGATGGGTCCCAAAACGAACGAATGGTCTTCCTGTCACTCGACCATAAATTGTTCAAATAGTGCGCCACATGCGCCCATGATTTGTATTTCCTAATATATAATTATATTATCTAAATATCGATATTTACGGAATTTTCCATTATTATATATTTTTTATCTTCATAACTGCCAAAGATGATACTAATTGTTTTTCATTTTAACCAAATAAATGTTTCTATTGATATACATGTACAGTAATAAAATATTTTCACTGTTAAAATAGTGCTCAATACATCAATTATAGAGCAATATAGAAATACTAGTGTTAAAATAGTGCTCAATACATCAATTGTAGAGCGATATAGAAATAGGCTACCAGTGTTAAAATAGTACATCAATACATCAATTGTAGAGCGATATAGAAATACCAGTGTTAAAATAGTGCTCTATACATCAATTGTAGAATGATATAGAAATACCACTTGTAAGATGCACATTTATCATTACTTTCGTTTTCTTATTAATTTGTGATTTTTGATTACCACATTGTGGAAATCTAGCCATATGGTTTAGGTAGTCTTTATCTTCCAGACACTGTTATGACTGTTAATTTTTTTATTACTAATTTAAGGCTGGATAATGTTTATTTTCTCTTACTCCATTTTTATTCCTTGTATTAATTTTATTATCCAAGAATTTGTACCTGGAAGGCATATAATACGGTTAGCATAAATAAATTCTATTTCAAAATCACTATATATGTTTTAAGCATCTAGTCCAATAGTTTATCAATGCTGTCACTGTCAAAATTATAACTTATAAGTTATTTTATGTGCAGTCTGTTGAGTTTATAATATGTAATGTTAAAGGCCCGCTCACACCGGTGGGTTCGTTTTGCCGCATTGCCCAACTTGCCGCATCGTGCCCAACTGCACAAAAACAACTTGTAGAACGAAACTAAAGGTTTCTGATAAAATCCGGAATGGCCGTTTGTTTCACATGAAACGAAATATTTCAATCTGTTGTTCCGCATCGATTTTCTTTTTATTTATAATTTGGACCTGTTAGGGAAATCGAAACTATAGTTTCAAGACTTTCGTACTGTGCCTTTTTACAGAGGCATACTTTTTGCTATTATGGTGACAATACTGAGTTTTCAAAATATAACCCTCACGGTTTTAGATTCCGCAATACTTATTTTCCTGTAGATCTATCCGATGTCTGAACTGTCATTTTTTCTAAACGATCGCAGGTTTGTCTATTTTTGTCTCCATATTTCATATTGCGTATATTCATTTTTACATAACAATCCGTGACATTGAATTGTAGAAGGATAATAATTGGCTATTTACCACTTCAGTTATACTGAACACTTTATGCTTCCTTCAGTTTTAGAATTCTGTATTCCATATTTGGCTAATAATGATAGGAAATGATATTTAGTGTGCAATTAGATGTGTTTTTTTTAACACCTAACCCTAAAAATGATTGATAAAATAATTGAAAATGAATCGTTACTTTTGCGTCCTAGTATTTATCAAGTATTCTGAATAAGAACATTATTCAATTTCAGTGTTTCTTTGAAATAATATTTTATGTATGAACACATAAACAAGTACAACTTCTGCAAAATTCGATCAACAAGCCTTTGTCTACGACTCATCTTACTCTTTTGTTGTTAATCGAGTCTATGGGGTACACTATTTAGATAAAATAGAGAGTACTTCCTGTCCCTTTGACAGGATAGGGAAATAATTCTATACGAAACCAAAAGTGAAACTGTGTAATAGACAACAGTGATTATTTCATAAGGAAGAAATGGATTCCATGGTAGTTAGACACAATAAAACTGTTCTTTCAGAACTTCAACCGGGTGATATTGTAGAATTTAAAAGAGGAATATACTCTCATTACGGAGTATTTATTGGTAAGATCAGTAGTTTTAGTTTTTAACAATGATAATAATAATAAAATCTTAGGCTATGGGGTATTCAATTTAAACGGTAACAAACCAAAAAGGAAATAAGGGCGGGGCTGGTAGAAAGTGCAACAGTGATGTTGTCTTGATGACTTGCATCTTATGCATCTTCAACATGTTAAACTTTGAATTATGAAATTGAATTGATCTGGTGCTTTCCAACACATATTTTTGGGCACAAATGTACTGTATAAAAATATTGCTTTTAAATTTTTAAAACTTCTTCTTGGGGGCCTTTGTATTCTGGAGTTCTATGTTTGCTTGGAAAAAGATAAAACAACAAAACCCCAAAAACATCTCATCACTTTTGTTATATTAAAGGGATAGGTAGGCCATTTTTTTGGCCAATCATACTTTAGTCTCAGAATTTTTTAGCTGACCTAATCAGTAAGCTTAATAGTGTTCACAGTACACTGTCGATATTTGAGCCTTCAAATCCATGTGTGTCCAGAATTAATTGCATTTAAATGTTAAATTGACGTCTCGTCAATTGAAGATATACTCTGTGATAAATAGAAAAAACACATATAGAAATAGTCAGTAAAATTCCTAGTTTGAAGTATTTTTAAAGGTATTATGTGATTATGTGATACATTTCTAGTACTTCTGAAGACTATTTACATATATTCAAGACTCAAATCAACCCCCTAAAAAAGCACAAAAACCGAACTTTTTAGTATTCTGGTTGCATTTTCTATCAACAGGGAATGAAAAAATAGTTCATCTATCTGGAGAAATAGTCAGTAAAATTCCTAGTTTGAAGTATTTTTAAAGGTATTATGTGATTTCCGTATATTTCTAGTACTTCTAAAGAATATTTACATTATTCAAAACTCAAATCAACCCCTGTCCCTTTTACCGAAACTTATAATATTTTGGTTGTATTTTCTATCAACAGGGAATGAAGAAATAGTTCATCTATCTGGAGAAGATGAAAATGATGGCTTGGACGCATCTGGTGTTGAACATATCTTTACCGTTAGTGGCCAACATTTTAACAAGGCTTGCGTGAAAAAAGACAAATTTCTGGAAGTGGCTGGTAAAAGTAAGGCCTATAAAGCAAACAAAGACACAAAAAGACAGTGAGTTGTTAATCATCTTTCTGTACCAAGATTAAAATCTAGAATGTTTGAAATACAGTAATCACTCTGTATTTCATCTTCGCAATGTCCAGCTATTACAAACTTCATCTTCACAATGTCAAGCTATTACAAACTTCATCTTCACAATGTCCAGCTATTACAAACTTCATCTTCACAATGTCCAGCTATTACAAACTACGTACTTGTACGTAGACTGTCATAGCCACCTTTTTTGTATCATGGGAAGTTTGTTGATGAAGTAATTTGATTGGATTCTTTGCTAGTGAATAAAGCCAATCAGAAAGTCTGTGAATGCGAAACCATAATGTTTACAGCCTATCCTTCGAGGGCTCTGATTGGCTATATCACTGGCGAAAAATAAAATCAAATGGTGGCTATTGCAGTGAAGGTATAAGGGAGAAGTTTATAATATCTTGACATTGTGCAGATGATTTTTATACGCCCACATGAAATGGGGGACGTATTATGTGTGTATGTCCACAATTGCTCGTAAACACTCTAGAAGGCACAATTCTTGACTGATCTTGACACAACTTGGTATGATTGTTTGTAAACACCCAAACTGAACCCTATTGAAAATCAGAAAAATCGATAGATGGTGCAATCCTTGACAGATTTTGATGAAATTTGATGTGAGTGTTTGTTATCATCAAAGGATGAACTCTATGGAAAATCAGAGATAACAATTAGTATGAGTTATTGCCCTTTCGCTTGATAATCATTTAATTTTTGCTTGTAAACACTCCAGAAGGTTCAATTATTGATGGATTTTGACGAAATTTGGTTTAATGTTTGTAATCACCTTAGGATGAACCCTATCAAAATACAGAAAAATAGTATGAGTTATTGCCCTTGTTCCTGAAAAGATGTTGAATACTCTAGATGGCACAATTCTTGACAGATTTTTACAAAACTTAGTAATAGTATCGCCCCAAAAAGTTCAAAAGAAGTGTATGTCTGAAGGTTGAATATTTCATACTGGTAATTGTTACTGTACTGCCAAATATTTTTATTTAAAATCAAGCTGCGTATATTATCGTGCCTGGCATGCTACCTTATAGAATAAATTTGAAATTGTAATAATCAAGAAGTGTGTTCTAACCTTGTTAAAGAAGTGTGTTCTATTCTTATTAAAGAAGTGTGTTCTAATCTTATTAAAGAAGTGTGTTCTAATCTTATTAAAGAAGTGTGTTCTAATCTTATTAAAGAAGTGTGTTCTAATCTTATTAAAGAAGTGTGTTCTAATCTTATTAAAGAAGTGTGTTCTAATCTTATTAAAGAAGTGTGTTCTAATCTTATTAAAGAAGTGTGTTCTAATCTTATTAAAGAAGTGTGTTCTAACCGTATTAAAGAAGTGTGTTCTAATCTTATTAAAGAAGTGTGTTCTAACCTTATTAAAGAAGTGTGTTCTAATCTTATTAAAGAAGTGTGTTCTATTCTTATTAAAGAAGTGTGTTCTAATCTTATTAAAGAAGTGTGTTCTAATCTTATTAAAGAAGTGTGTTCTAATCTTATTAAAGAAGTGTGTTCTATTCTTATTAAAGAAGTGTGTTCTAATCTTATTAAAGAAGTGTGTTCTAATCTTATTAAAGAAGTGTGTTCTAATTTAAAGAAGTGTGTTCTATTCTTATTAAAGAAGTGTGTTCTATTCTTATTAAAGAAGTGTGTTCTATTCTTATTAAAGAAGTGTGTTCTATTCTTATTAAAGAAGTGTGTTCTATTCTTATTAAAGAAGTGTGTTCTAATCTTATTAAAGAAGTGTGTTCTAACCTTATTAAAGAAGTGTGTTCTAATCTTATTAAAGAAGTGTGTTCTAATCTTATTAAAGAAGTGTGTTCTAATCTTATTAAAGAAGTGTGTTCTAATCTTATTAAAGAAGTGTGTTATATTCCTTAATATTGTCTTTTGTTTTGTTACATAACAATTCCTGCTCTATAAAATCAAATGCTCACTTGTGGGACAAAGTTATTGCTTTACCGAACGCCCTGCTTTGTTTTCGTTAATCGAAAAATATTTTTTTTTTTTTTTATTTCTTGACAGAGTACCACAGACGAAATGGTACATGGTATGGTGATTTTAGAACTATGTGGTACCTATACTCCGTGGTCATTAGATTTTAAATGTAAAACGGCAGAGTTTTGCAAAACCGGACATACGCACATGTGTACAACTATGAATAACTACGGACAACACTCTAGTGTGTATTTACAGCTCGATTTGCATACGAATTTCTGCATTGTATTACATAAACGTAATGTCATACTATGGCACTTTAAATTATGCAAATTTGCTATATGTTTTGCAAGTTATAATAGGAAACTCCCTTTAGCACCGTACTAAAATGTTTAGTGTGAAGTCAATGGATCTGAAATTTATAGGGGAAAAATTTCAAATGTGTTCAATATTTAAAGCCTTTTATCTCGTGACCTTGAACTCTCGTGACCATAAGTTTCATATGACCGAAAGTTTGAGGCAATATCTATCCATTGGTAGTTTAATTTTTCGTTTCCGACGTTAACTTCCGGTTTTATAGGCGATTGAAAATAGCGAAAATTTCTTGTTGGAGCAAAAATTCCTAACAGTATAACATGCTTACCTTACATGTAAATTCAAAATCCCATTCACTTAACATGGTGCAATGATTGTAAATACCCTGTCAACACTTGTTAAATCTAATTAAAATCAAAATTATCGAATTTGCGTACTGCGCATGCGCATTACCAAATTTCTTTTATCCGAATTTCACCAAACTTGCTATGTATGTGTATAATCCAATTATAAATTAGATTGAAATATCAAATTTTTGTTGTGCGCATGCGCATTACCAAATTTCTTATTTCTTATCCGGATTTCATCAAACTTGGTCTTTATTAATTGACAAACATTCTTTTATTCCTAGTCAATATACTTAAAACTCCATGCACTTTTGGATATTTAAATAATTGCAATAGACCATCTTCGTATGTACCTGAATGTCGTAACCCGCCCTGCATCAGTACTGTTATTAGAACAGTTCTAGTTTTTTTTATTATTATATACTTGGACGACTCTGGTCTTTATAAAGGTGATAGTGACAATGTCCTTATTTTCATATTATCACATTTAGGTAGTAGAATATATTGACTTGATAAGCTATCTTTTATATTTTCAGGCCCCTTCCTGCAAAGAAGATTGTAGAAAATGCTTTATCAAAGCTCGGGGAAGTAGGATATAATATAATATTCAAAAACTGTGAACATTTTGCTAATTGGTGCAGATATGAAATGGAAAAGAGTGAACAAGTTGATGGATTAGTTACTGCAGCATTCTTAGGAGCAGCTGCTGCAGGTGCTTTGGCTTTAGGTTATTTCATGAACAGGGGGAAAAAAGAGAAAAAACAACCTCAATAGACAATTAATCCAAGACATCCAGGGGATGTAGATGAGGCAAGGTATCAGGGACAAAGATAGCATCAATTTGCACCATTCAAATTTTCAATCGGACGTCTGTGGTTCTTGCAATTCTACTAAAATTTTGTGTTTTATGACGTCACCCCCACCAAGTTCTTGCATGATACAAGCAAATTTTGCTATTATTATGTCCGTGATATCATGACGTGTCCCCCGTGATCTGCGCCCATGATTTGTATTTCCTAATATATAATTATATTATCTAAATATCGATATTTACGGAATTTTCCATTATTATATATTTTTTATCTTCATAACTGCCAAAGATGATGCTAATTGTTTTTCATTTTAACCAAATAAATATTTTTATAGATATACATGTATTTTTAAGTAAAATCTGCTGAATTGTATATTAATTCGTAAGCGAACGCCCTGCTTTGTTTTTGTATTGATTTTTTTTTTTTTTTTTTTTTTCGTCTACGGCAGGCCGGTTTTCTCGGCAACGGCAACAGGTACGGGAAAACGGACTTCATGGCGTTTTGTAACTCGTGGCTAATAACAGTTTAAATGTAAAACGAAAATTTTCTGAGCAACATTACGCAAAATTGCAACAAACGGAAAATGGACTCTAGAGGGCGTGTTTATCAACCGATTTTGATCGGGTTTTCTGCATCGTATTTCTTGTAACAAAAGACAAATGATATTAGTTGAAAATTTTCGATTTTCGAAAATTCGTTCAATACTTTTTTTTGCCGTAATTAATCAGAAAATACTATTTCGGTTGTTATTTGGTGGATTGTCTTGTAACTTACATGGTGTGGACCGCCAGCATAGTGGAATAAAAGCACACATTTTTTTATCACTTCCGGTTTCGATGTTAGTACTTCCGGTGGTATCACTTCCGGTGAAATTGAGTTATGTCCAAAATAACATATGCACTATAGTACCAGCCTTAATACAAACTTACTAAACTGAAAAAAATCGCACCGGAAGTAACATGTAGGCCGCCATTTTCGTTTTTCCTCATTTTGCAGAAATTGCTATTCAGAGGCCATTTATCATTCGATTTGCGTAACTTTTGTGTCATACAATACGTTTAATGTCTGTCGACAAAAAATGGGAAGCATAATTTTGAATTTCGGTTTTGCCTTTTGCTATTATGAGATAAATCGGCTAATTAGATTAACCTGGCTGTTAACCCCAATAGAAATCAAAGTTTCAGTTGTTTTAAAGATACCCTCTCTTTTATATTTTTTTAATAATACATGTTTTACGACCAGTTATAGTATATGAATAAGCTCCTCGGTGGATTGAACCATGTTATACTGTAAATTGAGCTTACGCAAGCACATAAAAGGGATACCCCCACTTAATTTCCCAACTTTCTTATTTCTTATCCGAATTTCACCAAACTTGGTATGTATGTGTATAATCCAATTATAAATTTGATGGAAATATTGAATTTTTGTTGTGCGCATGCGCATTATCAACTTTCTTATTTCTTATCCGATTTTCACCAAACTTGGTATGTATGTGTATAATCGAATTCTGATTTTGATGGAAATATTGAATTTTTGTTGTGCGCATGCGCATTACCAACTTTCTTAATTCTTGTCAGAATTTCACCAAACTTGGTATGTATGTGTATAATCCAATTCTAAATTTAATGAAAATATTGAATTTTTGTTGTGCGCATGTGCATTACCAACTTTCTTATTTCTTATCCGAATTTAATCAAACTTGGTATGTATGTGTATAATCCAATTATAAATTCGATGGAAATAACGAAATTTTGTTGTGCGCATGCGTATTATCAAATTTCTTATTTCTTATCCGGATTTAATTGGTCTTGGTCTTTAGTAATTGACAAACATTCTTTTATTCCTAGTCAATATACATTAAACTCCAGGCACTTTTGGATATTTGCATTTAGAGATGCAGAAAAGTATTTACATCAATGTACTTGCAATAGACCATCTTCGTATGTACCTGAATGTCGTAACACGCCCTGCATCAGTACTGTTATTAGAACAGTTCTAGTTATATATGTTTTATCTTCATAACTGCCAAAGATGATGCTAATTGTTTTTCATTTTAACCAAATAAATATTTCTATAGATATACATGTATTTTTAAGTAAAATCTGCTGAATTGTATATTAATTCATTCTGTTTCATATTATATAAACAACTCCTTTCTTTACTTCAATTATAACTTATTCCCATCAGTTCAACTTTTCAATCAAAATTCACAATCCATCAATATACAAAGTTCTGACATTAATCATTAATGAGCACTATATCAAGTTCTAGTACAAAATATTTACTTTCCAGTAATAGATGATAGAAACATAATAATTCTTTACCAATATTTATAATCTTATTCTCTGGTTCAGAGCTGTCAATTAGACTGTATTGAAGTTTCAAACACCACTTAAACTAATATATAAGTACTACAGTCAGAATTCAATAGAGTTTGTTGTAATGTAATGATGTAGATTAGAGCTGTTAAAGATGGGTTCCCTTATTTTTATTTATGAAAATGAAAATACTTATATGAATAGAAAGTACATGTGTTCTAATGACTTGGAAAAATACCAGTTTGTCTCACATGTCCATAATTAATTCATATTCAGCTAAATCATTTAGCCTAAATGATAAGAGAATTAACAGCAGAATTCCAATGAGTGACGGATCAAGAAAGGTCAAAAAGTCTTTATTTGTTTATCCAGACCGTACAAAAATGGACATTTATGATTGGTTAAAACTGTTAATTATATGCAATAAGAACATAATGATATGATTAAGAATACATGATAATTCATTAGCAACACAAATTAATCAAATAGTTTGCCATCTTTAATAGGTTGTGTATAGTCTAACGCAAATATTTCTGCTCATCCGTCCACTATATTCAGGTAATTTAAATATCAATCAACACAATGTATAGTTTATATGACTATTTATTCTATTGGTTTAAATTACAGGGGAACAATTATACTACTGCTTCAAACATTCAAGAGTAAAAGTTTTCAAGGAATGAAATAATGTCATGTATTGATTATTAATGTAGTTTGTAGTTATATCACCCCCCATTTCTTCATTTGATGCCCAGTGGCGGAGCCATATTTACGTCTGAGGGGGGCGATCTGAGATTGTCCAAATTTCCAACCCAGATATGAGATTTTTGCCCAAAAAATTTGCTTTCGGGGCTGCGAGGGAGGGACCCCCTTATTGGCTCTGCCACTGTTGATGCTATGATTGCAGACTACACCATTGAAATGGTGTCATAATTATTGCTATTATCTCTTTAATTTTATGACGACACGTGTAAATTGTGTTAAAACGTTACTTACTTTTCTTATTAAAGAAGTGTGTTATAATATATTCCCTTGTGTTTTCTGTTATATAATTATAGATATCTCAAATTATATAACAGAAAACACAAGGGAAAATATTATAACACACTTCTTCGTGTTGAAGAAACGTTATGTACTTTGTTTTTGAAGTGTTTTATACCATATTATATTCCCTTGTGTTTTTTGTTATATCTACTCTCCACTTCCAAATGTTGTTCAAATCTTATGCAATTATATCCTTAATATTAACGATTTACAATCTTCTTTAAAAATTTAACAGTATGGATGGTTTCCAAAGGTAAAGATTTATTTTTAAGTGATGTGGGGCTATAAGAATCAACCAATATTAGAAATTTGTCCAATTGTCAGCACTATTTCTTTTCACAGCTATCTTAAACTTGAGTTATTTTAAAACTGTAGGTATTAGATAAGGAAATAGCATGGTTGGTGGCCTGGATCATTATCAACATTTTACTGATCTGTTTGATGTGGTTTCTAAAAATAGAAAATAAAATGAAAGTAGAGGTTTAAAATCAGAAATAAAAGAAATAATGCTTTTTGCAGTTCCTGCATAAAAACAATAAACTCCTGATTAGCACAAGACTGTTGCAATCTTAAATATATTGAGATATGTAGATTCTGAGGCAATTGTCTTTATTTTGTGATATTATAAATGAAAATAAAAATTCAACTTTCTCTTTTTCTTAATTTCATTTTCAATTATCGTTTAGAGATAAAAACTATAGATATCTTATAAACCACTAGATAGAAATAACCTCATTTAAATATCACGACTAGACCTGCCTTTTATTACCCAAGTACTCTTGTTTATTTCTTAATAGTATGAAACAAGATTCCATTTGCCTAACTCAATTCCTATAATTGATACAGTATAAAATCACAGAGTTCCATTAGACACCATTATTGTCTACTACCAATTAGAACTTTCCATGATGGCGAACGGTAACGTCATTTGGTCTATATAAGAACGTCATTTGGTCTCTGTATAACATCATTTGGTCTATGTATAACGTCATTTGGTCTCTGTATAACGTCATTTGGTCTCTGTATAACATCATTAAATGACCAAATTTTGGTCTATGTATAACGTCATTTGGTCTCTGTATAACGTCATTTGGTCTCTGTATAATGTCATTTGGTCTCTGTATAACATCATTTGGTTTCTGTATAACATCATTTGGTCTCTCTATAACGTCATTTGGTCTCTGTATAACGTCCTTGTATGTCTTATCTAGTTTATTATAAGATATCTATGATAAAAACTCTAAAACTCCTACCTGATTTCCAGACGTTCACTATCTCGGACCATGATGCTGCCTTTATGGAGGTGTTCTGCTGTTTGTAAGAGATACCGACATAGATTCTCTAGTTTGGGAAGAGTACATTCTCCGTTGAGTTCGTTGAACCATTCTTTAGGAAATGTTGATATAATCTAGAACATAAACATGGTTACTGTTTATAAGATATATAGATATAGGAGTAGGTAAAGAAGCACAAGATATATAGATATACTATTTCAGACATTTATTAACTCAACGTTTCACATACTCATACACGCAGCGTTATCAAGATATATGGATATACTATTTCTGACATTTATTAACTCAACGTTTCACATACTCATACACGCAGCTTCTCTTGATAACACTGCGTGTATGAGCATGTGAAACATTGAGTTAATAAATGTCAGAAATGGTATATCCATATATCTTCTCTTGATAACGCTGCCTGTATGAGTATGTGAAGCGTTGAGTTAACAAATGTCAGAAATAGTATATCTATATATCTTCTCTTGATAACGCTGCCTGTATGAGTATGTGAAGCGTTGAGTTAACAAATGTCAGAAATAGTATATCCATATATCTTCTCTTGATAACGCTGCCTGTATGAGTATGTGAAGCGTTGAGTTAATAAATGTCAGAAATAGTATATCCATATATCTTGTGCTTCTTTATAAAGATGGTTGTGGGTAAAAACTCTAAAAGAGTAATGTATCACACTTTTTTTTGCCTTAAAACATGGCTTGAGAGAGTTGGGTTGTTGTTAACTGTGGGTAGATTGGAATCCTCCTCATGGGAAGAAAAAATCCGATTCAACAGCCATTGCTTCAGCCAAGTGTCAGCGATAACATCACATACTGGAGATCTTCTTGCAACTAAAATTTATCAAGTGAAATTTCAATTGATTAAATTGATAAAACCACTATACTTACTGCTTGACATTTCTCAAGAGCTTCTTTGGTTAAACAAGATGTATTTAAACCAAGCACTATATATCTATTTAATAAACCATCTAGTGATAACTGTTGTAATACATGTGATGATAATATACCCTGCCATGACAAGATATTACCCAATAACTGAAAGAATACCAGACTGAGCTATATATATGTTATAAAAACAAAAAATCATCTTCCGAAAAGAAAAAAAACACATTCTTTATACTTCTGTCTGTTAACCAAAAATTTAAGAAAATCAGAATATAAGATTATGAGCATTGATAGCTATGTAAATGAAATGAAATGAAATGAAGTATTTGGTTCTTGTTTCTGCTATTAATTGAGGTGACGTTGCATTGTGATGTTATGAGCAATAAAGTAAAATTTGACAAGACAGGCAACAGTTCGAGACAGTTTTCAGACTTTGCTATTACAAGAACAAGGCTAGATATGACAGCAATAGTCCTCTCAAGAGGATTTTTAATTTGCTTCCTCACCTCTCCTTTTCCTACATTCTGAGCACAGGCATCTGTTTCAATAGTCGACTTTCATATATATACTTTTATAGTGAGAGTCAACTATAGATAGAAACAGATGCCTGTGATTCTGAGACCCCTCTGTAAGTCAATTTAATTCCTGTCATTGGTCGATTTAAAGATTTTCAGCCTGTAGTTAAGGGATCCCTAAGGGAGGGGGGCCTGTAGATATCGTTCAATCAGTCCATATGGTAGTTGAGGAACTGGATGCTTTTAAAAGAGAAGAACATACCTTGATACAAGTCCAGAGTTGACGGTGAAAGAAAACAGCTGGTCCAGAAGATCGGTTCTCCAATACACTATAATAGATTAACACAAAACTATCAAGGTATTGTAAAGATGTTTTCTAACTTTTTATATATATCAGGGCTATTTACGGCTTCTATTTGCTTTTATAATGTGCCCAAGAGCATAAAAATACGTCAAAATTTATGTTAACTGATTTAAATAATGTTACATGTAATATCCACATAAAATAAGAAATCTTTTCTCTATCTTTTGATTGGCTGAATAATGATTGAGAATATATGATGTATAACAATTTTGATAGATTATGGATGGCCAGTAGAGATAAAAGACTAAAAGGAAACGTCCCTGCTATGGTTCCATATTACCAACAATCTATAAACCTAACCCATTTTTTCATCCAATGCTACATTTTCTATTAAGACGAAATTAAATGGTTACGAATTTCATTATCATGTGACATTTGATTGACAGCTTCCCTTCAAACACAAAAATTTGACTTAATATGATCTATCACATAAACTAGTTTACAACTAGTTTAGTATTCCCCTTGATAATATCAATAACTTACGATTTAGGATAAAGAGGCATAAAGACATCATCATCTAGACATTTCTTCATTCTATCAGCAATACATTTTAACAAATTCTAGAAAATAGAAGTATTTTTCAATATAAATAAACAAGACACACGACTGGATGGTCAATACTAATTACTGTACAATTTGATAGTTGCCTATCGCAACCATGAGGAAACAGAAACCAGTGGGTAGTTTTACATAATATTCTGTTCCCAGTAAAAAGTGTGCGGATATCAGGTGTTTCCAGATTATCAGCAACCAGAAAAACACAGCTCCACTGTAACCAAAAAATGAAATAAATGGAGTGTTACGGCCTACTTTTCTGCACCATGTGGGCTAATGACGACGGGCAACGCCATGCAGGGTGCAATGAAGGAAATTTTGCCAGGACAGCAGCATAAGCCTGCTCTCTTTCGATTTCCAACTGTCAAGGTATCTTTAATCTACTGTAATCAGGTCTATTTTACACAACTATAGTCTGAAGATTGAAATACAGTAAGAGTTGAATCTATGGCGGTCAGCTCTTTATCCTTAATTAATAAGATGATTTATATGTTCTCATCTCTTAAAATTTATTTTAAATCTAGTTGAACAGTAAGGGTAGGGACCGTTTCCAAGAGCGACTACAGTTCTTAAATCATGAAACAATGGCAACAGTAGTGGTTCACCATTATAAAACTCAATTTTAAAACTTACAAGATGGAATATTTATAAATATTTTATATAAAAGGGCAAATATTCAGACTGTCAGAGATAATTCAGTGAATTATTTTAGAGTTATATTTTTAGTCTAGTTATGGTCTAGGCATGTAAGCCCGATTAATTTGTTTAAAAGAAAGCAGTGATATTAGAAATGTAAATATTGAGAATAATTTTTTAGTAAAGAAAGATAATAATAATAAATATTTACCTGTGTATTTTTGTTATTAGCTGAGACAGTAGGATAATCTTTAATTAATTTCTGTATCAGGTTAACGAGCCGAGATGTCTGGGAAGTTGACAGGGGGTCCCATATATACTCACATATATCTAAATTACATAACATATATACATAGAGTAAATTAATTAGACAGTTCAGAACTATATGCTAAGGATCTCATTCAAAGGGTTTTACTACATTTACAATCGTCAGACTGGTGATATACGCCGTCAACTGAGAAAACTCACCCCTAATTGTATCCCCACTTTATTTTCAACAAATTTAAATGTCTACCTTTTTTCTTTAAAATATGTGTCAGAATGCACAAAATCAATTCATTTTTTCTAAAATTTTCTTGAGAGAACTCTCTAAGACGCTCTATGAGAGACTTGCAATTATGACACCACCACAGAGTAGCCAAAATTTGAATTCAGCCTCAGTAGTTGTCCCCCCATTGAGTCAGTCTGCCCTCTATTTGTACCCTCAGTCTCAGAAAGCTGGCCCCACCACAGGTATACTTACATGATAATTTTGGTAGAACTATTTTATCAACTATAGCGGGTAACAATCTTATATCATCATCGTCTGGATCTGGTACTATATCATTGTTACTATGACAACTATATAATACTAGTGAATTATACCAACTAAACTCTTCTATATCATTACATACTTCCTGTAATAAATATAGTCATATATTCTTCTACATCTGGACTGTTTTGTTTAGTCAGACATGAACTGACTTGGTTGTATCTCAGGAAGTTGACCTATAGATTAGTTATGGGTGTCACGCACAACCATGCTTACTCTTTTCTAATCACCTGATGGTACTTCTCTTTGGAGGAGTCCACAACTATACAACCATTACTCCAGATTTTACCATTCTTTGGACAAGATTTTTAATTGCAAAATTGTCTTGCTTATACAGATTTTTATTATAGATTTAAGAGTTCAGACATTCGGACTACACTCTACATTTATACATCAATAACTAATGACCTTCATTCCTAAATTAATTTCTCTCATATTGTTGACCTTAAGTCTAACTTTCACCTTTGTCTTTTAAGTCCAATAGCTTGTAATTGGACTTTAACACTGTAACTCTTGCATGTCAATAGAAAATATCTTCAGCTTCTTTTTTGCACTGATTTTAAAAAAAAATGTCCACAAAAAATAGCCACTCAAAATTTGCCACAAACCTTCAAAGGGTTCCAATCTAATAAAGATAGTCTAATAAAGGGGTTTAATAATTTAGGTAGACAAAGACCGATATAGGCTTCTTGATATGTATCACCATATAGTTTCTTCCATCTTTCAAACTGTTTCTTAGCGTAATCTAACTCACTGAATTCTTCTACCACATCTTCAAATAGTCTCTTACTTCCAGCTAATACATCATCTATAAATACAATATACAAATAGTCTCTTACTTCCAGCTAATACATCATCTATAAATACAATATACAAATAGTCTCTTACTACCAGCTAATACATCATCTATAAATACAATAATTATATAGTCTCTTACTTCCAGCTAATACATCATCTATAAATACAATAATTATATAGTCTCTTACTTCCAGCTAATACATCATCTATAAATACAATATACAAATAATCTCTTACTACCAGCTAATACATCATCTATAAATACAATATACAAATAGTCTCTTACTTCCAGCTAATACATCATCTATAAATACAATATACAAATAGTCTCTTACTTCCAGCTAATACATCATCTATAAATACAATATACAAATAGTCTCTTACTTCCAGCTAATACATCATCTATAAATACAATATACAAATAGTCTCTTACTTCCAGCTAATACATCATCTATAAATACAATATACAAATAGTCTCTTACTACCAGCTAATACATCATCTATAAATACAATAATTATATAGTCTCTTACTACCAGCTAATACATCATCTATAAATACAATATACAAATAGTCTCTTACTTCCAGCTAATACATCATCTATGAATACAATTGTTATATAGTCTCTCACTTCCAGCTAATACATCATCTATAAATACAATAGTTATATAGTCTCTTACTTCCAGTTAATATATTAACAACAGTAAACTCTACCTCTCTCCAGATTAAATCGTGAAATATCAAATTGGTTTTCCTCATCATCGGATGATAATCCATCATGGTGTCCTGATAAATTCTTATTTTCACGTTTCCTTCTTCTTCGAGATCTGAAAATTACCATGAAAATTTTAAGATTATTTTAACTTTGTATATATAATTCTTATCATTCTTAATCAACTAAAAAAAACACACTTTCGTTCCATTTTTTATTAGCTTTTATTCTTAATTTAGTCACCTTAGCCAGAGGCTGTATTCCGAGAAGTATTAAACATCTAATGCACCTTTTGTTCTCGTCACAAAAACCCAGAGAGAAGAATTTTGATTGACTGGCAAATGAAAGAATGTTCAAGAGGCCCGTCGTTAGACCCTAACTGAAGTGGCTAAATACAAAATAAAAGCTGATAAAAAATGGAATGAAAGATTGGTCAACTTTTAATAAGACTGAAAAAAACAAACAAACATTGCAGCCTTCATCTCTTTGAGGATTACACTTAGTAAGAGAGTTGGAATCTTTCCATGACATCATTGCTTTGTTATGTCAAACAAATGGGGGTCCTTAGTTCAAATCTCAGTTGGTTCCTGGTAGTCTGATGACCTTGAATAAGTTGTGTTTCTTCGTATGATAAATGGTTACAGACGATCGGGGGAAATCAATGCCAAGAGGTTTGGCCAATCCATTCCAATCGAAAAAATCTTTTTTAATGTTTACCTTCTAGCCTCTCTCTCTGCTACTCTCCTTTGTCGAGAATATTCTTCCTGTGTTTCCATGACAACCTGATGTTTTTTATCTAGAGATAAGAGAAATGACATCAGATTAATCAAGTGAAACAAACTTTCATATCAAGATTAAAATTTACAAAGCTGGTCGCAGTAAATAAATAGAAAATATTTTCAGTTTCAGATTCTGTTTGATACTAAATTAGAATTTAACTTCACAAAAAACTGACAATAAAAGGTTGAGAATGGTTTTGAAAATTGGTAAATGGAATAAGTAAGGCATCATTGGCATATCTACTAGGCACATTAACAGTTTTGAACATAGAAAATCATTCATTTACTAGGTGGAAAGGGTCAAGAGGAAGCATTTGTCTACCTCTCTAAAGCAATGTCATAAAAAATGACATTTGTACTATGCCGGAAACACCTAATTCAACTCTGAACCTTGCTGAAGAATCAAATATTTCAAAACAATGGGAATGATTTTATTCTGAAATAATACTTGTCAACTCAGAGAAATCTATTTTGGCTTCAAATGCAGTTTTTACACTGATAATATTAACAATATCTTTCAAAACTAAATAACACCCAGACACTCAATAGACTATTAATAATAATAATGATAAAAGGTTTCTGAAAAATTAGAATTACATGTAAAACATTTTCTGTGACAAAAAATCAGACATGGCGAAATGTGGACATGTCATGGTATTGTGACGTCAATAAATACCGACTTGTCATATAATCTTGACACTGATCACGAACATCTTGTTGGCGTCTCTGAATAAGTAGGTCAGCTTGCTGGCGTAACATTGTCTTCATTCTGTTCTCAAAGTCGTTAATTACTGGAACCTAAACAAGCGAAATACAAAACAAAAATATTCTTTAATTTAGTTCCAAAATGGTTGCAACAAAAAATATAGTGACATAAATTTGTGTATTTAAATTTATGGTCCCTTTTTTATCATTTCTAAAATCTTTTAATTTTGTTTCAGAACGGTGTTGATTGACCATAAAATGGCTGTAAGAGAAAAATCCAACATGGCTATTTCACTTAGTGTTTTAAACAATAATTCAATACAAGGTTAATGAATTGATGAAAGTGACCATTGAATTCATTTCTGGAACTCTAAAGAAGCGTAGACAGTGCAGTTTTTCGTATTTCTTAGCCATAAAAGAAATGAATCTGCAACCCATTTCCATTTCCCGAAGTCTTACATCTCCCAATTGACAATAGATTTATTAACCTCAATCTATACAAATGAGATAACAATCTTGTTTCCTTTTTGGTTTTGTGATATATTTCAGCTCCAATGTGATCTAACAAGTTATCTACCACAGTTCAGTTCTAATGACGTTTATTTTTCAATCAAAGCTCGACATTTATAACCTGTTCCTTTAAAGCAATGACGATTTTAATGGGATAGCGAATCTGAAAAGAGGCTGTCATATTGCTCTACTTTGGTTTTAGCATATTACACAGTTTGTTATATTTTAATAAAATCACAGCAACCTTAAAGATGGGTTCCCTTATTTTCATTTAAGAAAATGAAAATGCTAATACTTATATGAATAGAAAGTAGAGGTGTTCTGATGACTTGGAAAAATATCAGTTTGTCTCCCACGTTCAAAATTAATTCATAATTAGCTAAATTAGAAGAGAATAACCAGTAGAATTCTAATGAGTGACCGATCAAGAAAGGTCAAAATTTTTTTTTTTGCTTATCCAGACTGTAAATACATGGGCATATATGATTGATTAAAATTCTTAATTATATGCAATAAGACCATAATGATATGATTAAGAATACATGATAATTCATTCAAACAGTTTGCATAATTTAACACTAAAAACATAAGGAAACCCATCTTTAACTGCAGAAGAAAACTACAAAACATTTTACATAAAAAAGAAAGCATTGATTATATACTGTCAGTATTTTTGTATAATACAGATAACTTAGTAAAGTTCACAATTCTGGAAGAGAAGAGCTTGTTACAGTCTATAGATGTCTTATAGGTTTCCTCTTCTGAGAGAGTAGATATCTTCATCAATTGAAGGAGAACACACGCCATTCAGCTGAAACAAAGCTGTAATATATTCCCCCACACATCAAACCAGGTATTAAGTAGCATTTGGTGTATGTAGAGCTATTAGCATATTTGGTTTCCTGGCATCATCAGCTACATTTTGATACCAATTCCATCTCAGATTTAAAGGAGATTGGCATTCTACAATTCTCATTCTCATTTTCAATGGTAAATCGATACCCAATAATTCAACTCAACCAAATCTTTCCAATTAAAATCTGATAATAATAATCACCCACCTTTTCATTGAGACATTCGACCAAGTCACGAACATACCCTCGTATTTCCTGGTAGAATTTATATTGTTTTTCTAATTGTGGTATTTTATCTTGACAGTCCTCAATCTCCTTCTCTCCATCTTCCACTTCTGTTTGTAGTCTGTCATATTCCATTTTATGTCCACGATAAACTGTATCTAATTCACTCATTCTAAAAACAGAAACAGGAACAGTTATCCACTGTCCTGTACCTTATTGGTCTAGTGCAGTGATTCCCAAACTGTTTCGGCCTCCACACCCCTGGAGCAATCATTTCAACTTCTTTCACCATCAAAATTTGTATCATCCACATTTCCATCATGTACTGTCTCAACTAAGGTGGTTTTCTCTTACACGAGTTGGCCACGCCCCTGACACCCCAGTACCACACCCTCTCACTAAACCCCCAGGTTGGGAACCGAGGGTATAGTGAGAGAAGATGAGTGGTTAAGTGTTCTACAATTCTGCACCTACACACAATTTATTAGTACTCCATGAATGTTCAAGAACATCTTAGACTATATAAGAACAAAGGGAGATGAACTTTTGTTTAGGACACCCTTTATCTGGTGTGTAAGGCCCCAACCAGTCTAAAATAGAGCTAGGCCACCATATCTGGCTCTACCCATTCCTAGGTTGTGATATACAGATGAGATATAGACAATATTAACATTTTGTGATGGCCCTAGATGTGTCGACATCCCATGTGTATATCACGTCCAAGCAATGGGTAAGGTCAGATCTGTTGGGCCAAAACAGAGCATACTAACCTATCTTGAAGTCTCTTTCTAACAGATTCTATAGTAATATTAGAAACGTCACTAGATCTAGCTAGAGATTTAAATGGTTTAAAGGAAGCTGTAACAATAGATGATACATTAGAACCAGGTTGTGGATTATTACTATTATAATTCTCTATATTATCAGTATAGGAGTTAGAATTACTCTGATGATCATATTGTATCGTTTCCTGTCCCGGCATCAACGCAGCTTTCCTAATCTGTTGTGCTTCCCATTCTCTATCATGATCACTCTCTTCATCACTTCCTGTAAATAAAACATTAACAATATCACATGTCATGTACAAAGAATTTATGATAACAATAAATAAATCAAGTACTAACGATCCAAACCGCAAAACGAAACTAAAAATCCAAAGCAACAATTTAGCGAAAAACATTAGAAGCAGCTAAAAACTTTTCACTCGAGGAAGTATTTCAATCATAGTGAGTAAATATTTCAGATCACACATCAAAAATATTTTCATCACAACAACATACCATGTACATGAAAGTTATCATAACCATAATATATCCATAAAAATAACAATTGTTGCAGGAATATCTTCATCAATAATGAGTTCAGATGTACAATGTATAGGTATTGCGAATTTTACTTATGTTTTGACTCAGTAACCACCTTTCTTGTTAGACTGAAAACTATGCCTCAATCCCACCCTCTGATAGCTATTTTGAAAGGTGTTGCCTGGTGTAAAGACTGAAAAACTATGGGGATTTTCTTGTATCACAAAATGCAGATTATAATGGATTACTATCAGAAAACAAAATGGTAATGTTATTTCAATTAGATTGTGTAAATCCTCACCATGTTCAGCTGCCAAGAATTCATCTCTCATCTTCTGTCTTTCTCTAGCAGCATTATTTATACTGAAATCAACTCTCTCTTCTTCTTCATCATCACTTCGATCATGTTCATCATCTCTATAGAATATATTCATGTTCATCTTTAATCATGTTCATCTTTAATCATGTTCATCTTTAATCACTTAATCATGTTCATCTTTAACCATGTTCATCATTAATCATGTTCATCTTTAATCATGTTCATCAATAGTCATGTTCATCATTAGTCATGTTCATCATTAATCATGTTCATCATTAATCATGTTCATCATTAATCATATTCATCATCTCTATGAAACCAGAGATACTTATGATCTTTAAGTGATATGTAATACCTAAAAATAGAATAAATGAAACCTACCTGACAAGTCTTGATTCTTTTTTCTTCTCTGTGGCTGTCTCCTCTTCATCAAGAGGTAAGAAATCATCGTTTCTAGCCTGCATCCTCTGTTTCCGTATCATATGTATTGTTTTAGCATCAGGTATCTCTCCTCCTAGAAATCATATATATTCCATTTGAAATTCACGAAAAATGAAAGTTTCATTGAAAGTTTCCTCTAGTATCTCACTTTCAGCATAACTTGTCCATCTCATACACATGTACTTACTTGTGTATATGTATTTTCTAAAAATGTATAGCCTGGGGGCTTATTATTGAAAACTTAACCTTAGATGATGTTGGTGTTCGGGTCATCTGATTGGTCAATAACTAAAATTGATTTTAAATTGAATTTTTTTTCTTAAAATCCGGATTTACTAATATACGTTTTGGAGAAAAAGGCCCTTGATCGACAATAGAAAGAAACGACTACATACTGGCCAACATTTTTCTAAAAGTATGTTGTCCATCTTCTTCATCACTTCCTTCTAGATTCTCAGCATCATCTCCATTCATAGTCCTCAACTCTTCTCGTAGTTGCTGAAATATATAGATAGCAGAGACATCTTACAACAATTACAGAATCTTCAAATAGTCCACTTACAGTATTCGTTTTATAATGAAATTTGTACAAACAAGACAATTCAGCAAATCAAAATCTCATTCATAGCATGGTAAAATTGAGAGTATAAGTTGTATATAGTGGAATCTTCCTAAGAGAAGTACCATCACATATTCTAATTATTCAATTGGCTCTGGAAATTCTATGCTGGATTTGTTTCAGAATATGTTATCTTAAGCACATTTTCTTACCAAAGTGGGGAAAAGACAAAACTTCAAAAATGTACCGTACTTAAAAGCGAATAGTAACTTCTGCAAATTGTCTTTTCAACATTTTTTCATTTGATTATAGTAAGTGTAGTATTATACAGTTAGAACCCCAATAAAAGAAAGTTGATTGATAGATGTTTTGAGAACCAGTGTTATTTTTGTTAAGATTTGAAAGTTACCCTGAGCTTTTCATCAGCCTTTTCTCTGAGAACATCTTCTGTATTCTCATCACTGGATTCTTTTTCTCTTGGTTTCTTTTCTTCCTTTATAACAATGTTTGTGTCAACTTTTTCCTTCTTTAACTGTTTCGCTAATCTGCGGCTCTGATTCGATTTCTTGACTTTGAATATTTCTGTGTCAGCTAAAAAAATAAATTTTAAGGACTTTTACAGTTGGCTGATTTTTAACACATTTGATTGAATTTTGTTATTACCAAGCAAATGGACACCAGTGAAACATTCCTACGGGAATTTATAATCAATAAGACTCTAAACTTTTATTTCTAAATTCTATGAATTATAATCTTTGTAAGACATATAGAAGCAGGAAAGTAAACATTAAGAACACAAGTTATCATGGATATACTCCTTCTAGGTCAATAATATCAGTGAGTTAGGCCTAATTCTATATTATTGAAAGGAGTTTAATCAATCTGACTACTGCACAAATCCACTTTCACAATCTACTTTCAGCATCAAGATGGTTTAATTAGTAACAACATGCAACATAGCTACAATTTCTGGCGATTGTGAGATATCTAATTTAATCATGTCAAGATAATCTAGGAGTAGGGCAGATGGTTTCGATTTCATACCGATCAAACGATCAAAAATGTCTAGATCATTCAATTATCGGAGATCAGAAATAGGATTTTTCACAGTCAAAATTTTAAGAATAAGATTAGATCTACCAGTAAACCATTTTAATCCAAAATTAAATGAGGAAAATTGCGTCTTTCAATAGTCCAATCAGTAGGAGACAAACACTTGCTGTGATACTATCTATTTATAGTAACATAACCTCCTTTTTTCAATACTGATTATGAGTAATCAAATGAGTGACAAATTATCAGTAGCCTATCTTGTTTTTTTAGTCCCCTAATCTCTCAATTAGTTTATTCAATTGCTTCAATATACTTGGAACAAAAAAAATTTATTAAGCCTACTGGTTCCAATATACTTGGAACAAAAAAAAATTTATTAAGCCTACTGGTTCTGAAAAAAGATGAAGATAAATTAAGCGATCTGTAATAAAGTGTTGTATAAAATCTATAACATGATTTATAAATATATATATATGAGTCAAGCTATCGTTATAAAGCGTTGAATGTCAAATCAAATAGACCAATATTCAATTGTTTTGTCTCCTCTTAATCAAAAGTCTTTTATGATTAAGTTTGTAATAATGAAGACACTTTCCCCATCATATTATTTATGTTGACGAGTTGACAAGGCAAATATTGTAGACGAATTAACTTTTGTGAAGAGTTAACCAATAAAATTTTGTCGACTAGTTGACATGTGGACAAGTTGACAGGTAGTGGTATTCATGTAGACATGCAACACCATACAGTGTGCAATGACAATGAGGGAAACTTTGCCTAGACAGAGGCATGTGCCTGCTCTTTTTCGATTTCTAACTGTCAAGGGATTGTTAACTAGCACAGTCTGTAGCAAAGGTTTATTGTCCCATCCGAACGACTCGACAGATGTTTTTCCAACTACCATCCAATAATGGCAACCTGCATTGCTAACATGGGGAAACCGGGTCGAAATATCCTATGCAGACCACTAAGATATTTACACCACCATAATTCAGATTCTTCCCTCATACCTTCTTCATCATGGTCAAAGCTTAAAGCTGGAGCAGAAGAAACTGGCAAGGATTTTTCCTTCTCCTTAGCGCGTTTCTTTTTCTTTTCCTTTTTCGATCCGTTTGAGGGGGTGATTTTTGGTGGTTCGTCGACGTCCATTGAGGAGTCATCGTTATCATCAAGAAAAGGAATGTTTTCCTTCTTTATGCCAATTGATTCACTGTTTTCATCATCAGAACTGTGCTCTGAAATCTTTTTTCTAAAGTTTCTCTTCGGTTTCTTGAAAAGAGACGACATTTTGTGTGTTTACGACTGAAAACGTTTTCTCGCGAGATTGATTTCATTCGGAACAAAGAGGATATTCTTCTGAAAAGAAAAATGTACTCTAAATTTTGTACAGTTTTTTCTCATTAATCAATTGTGCAATAATAATTCTCTTTCAGTAATTTCATTATATGATTTATTTTCCTTATAAAGTGGAAATCCA